AAAGAAACGAATTAAGTGTAACGGCACAAATAAACAAATACATAAATATCACTGACCGACAGAGTGGCCGAGCGATCGAGTGAACGATATACATAGATAGAAAACTTTTAAAAGGAGGAATCCACCAGAAGTTCGAGTAACAAGAGAACAAAAACTTTCTACCGAGTTTATTTACATCGTATTGGACACTTCTGTGCAACTGTTTTAAATATGTACGCTGGGCAAAACTGCTCTGGATCGGCATTGTTCGACAAAAAATTAAAGCAAGCAAAGCTATGTTCATAATTTTGTGACTGTCTTAAACCTTATTAAATTTCACACATGGAAAATTATTTTCACATNACAAAAAATTAAAGCAAGCAAAGCTATGTTCATAATTTTGTGACTGTCTTAAACCTTATTAAATTCCACACATGGAAAATTATTTTCATATGGATCACGCAAGGAAGACTTGAGTTACAAGGGATCTAAATTTACCATCTGGATCACAAAAGTACGAAAAATCGCGCGATTTCTCTGAGAGATAGTTGTGTTTTTCATCGACATCGTAGTAGATCAGTGTAGTTGTGCGAAAAAGATCATTTTGTGTTTGTGGATATTTTTGTCATGTATTCGATGAGATAAAATGGAGAGCAATAATCCATCCAAACAGCACAATAGTCCTGTGATACATCAGCGGTTTAGCGAATCAAAGATTTAAGTTGTGGTGCAACCACCAAAGGGCCACAAGGCAAACAAGGCAAACCAAACAAAGTCTTATAGCAAGAAAATGCGAGAATATGGCAAGCTCCTGGTAGATGAGCCCAGAAACAGGCCCGGCATGTTTCCGAAAAGCGCAAATAGGACTGTCTGAGGTTCTTGGCGGACAATTCTTTGGCACAGCAGCATTTTGTGCAATTATGGTTTGTACGAAGCACGAACTACAGGCGGCCATCTTCAAAACAGGTGGAAGATCGATCATGTGGCAAGAACAGTTTTAATGAAGATCAATCTCTGAATACAGTATCGCCTTTCAGTGGGCAAATATTGCAAAGTCTTTCTCACGCTTTCTTGTGAAATTATTAACAAAAAAAAAATCTATACAGCGGTAACGATGTTCTTCGCAAAACAACACTTCAAATGCATTTTTTTTTCTCGGAAATCACGTGATTCTGCATACTTTTGTGATTCAGTTACCAAATTTGGCTGCGCTGTAACGCAAGTCTCCCTTGCGCGATCTATATGAAAATAATTTTCCATGTATAGAATTAAATTAAGTTTAAGACAATCGCACAATTATTTGTATCACTGTGCTTGTTTTAATTTTTTTGTTGTAAAACGTCGATCCAGAACAGTTTTGTCCAGCGTACTATCTTCTATCCGAAACGTTCGTCTGGCCTTCGGAACAATTTTGTAAAATCATCAGAAACCTTCGGAAAGTGGTCGGAAATCTTCTGAAAATCATCAAAAACGTTGTCGTTAGTATGTGTATGTAATAAACAATTTAATACATGGTTGCTTGTAGATATGAAATTTCTCTTCGCGTGTTCAACTTGATATCTCATGAATGAGTGCGCCCATCTATTATCCTCTATATATTAGATATGAATATATTAAGTATATATATGCAAAATAGAAAACATCATTCAGGAAGACTGTCATACTAGCAGAGAGATTAATTGATTCTAATTGGGTTTCGAAAGCTCTTATGGATTTTTCACATCTT